TTCTCCTGCCATTCGCACTTATCGACTCTAATGAGCGACTTGTAGTAGTTTCTGATGACTTTGTAATCCTGCCATGTGATATGACATGGGCTTAGTGAATGTTGCCTTCAGATTTCATCTCTTCTGTTGATCCATTTACGTGTGCTGCTCCGGATCCACGTATTGGTCCGGTGCGATGCTCGTAATGGTACAACCTCCCATCCAGATTATATGACCCAGTTAATTTTGTCTTTCAGTTCATTCCACGTTTCATTCGCTGAGATGTGCGTCTGTAGATCCCAGTCAGCGGTTGCTGCCAAGCTGCGCAGCTTATAATAGTCCGTAATAGTGCGTTGAGTCTCTCTTTCTTTAGCAACAATACTGGCATAACACACATAACCAAATGTTAGGACTGAATGGTCGCTGCGGCCCAGTAGAGAATCGTATGCTATTGACTCAACCATCAACTCTTCATTAGTCTGGATTAAGTCCAGGAGTGATGGCGTGTTTGAACCGCGGTGTCTGGTTGATCGATGCACGTATCCATGAATTCGAGGAGTTTCGATTTAAATGATGATCCATTAGGGGACTTTGATACTATTGAAGAAACATTAAAGTTACCCATTATAAGATAGCGAGAGTACTTTTGCGGAACAGCATAGCGAAGGGGGTTTAACAGAATGTTATCGCTGTCTGCTGATGAGTTCGGTGGCCTATAGATAACTGCTACGAAGCAAGCATCACTCGTCTTCAGTGAAGCAACATCTCGACCTCCTAGGTGCAATCGGCAAAATAGTGCGTCGGAAATAACAAGGGAATTTGCAGTAAGAGTCTCACGTTTCAAATAATCTCGATAGTAGAGAGCAACACCGCCACCGCGAGATGGATGATCATTTCGAATGACTGACATCTCACTGAGTTCAACCTCTCGATCAAGTATGTCGTTTGAGAGCCGTTTCAGTAACTGCCATGAGGTCGCAAATTGTTGTTTCCTGTCGGTGGCGCAGTTCCGAGAGCTTAGAATACAACCCCTGAGTGTTGGTGTAGCAGCGTTGTATTCGTTGGCGCATCACGAGCTCGGTTCGCTGTGAGTGACCGGCACTATGTGTGCCGGTCTGCGGAAGTTTTTAAACGCTTGTTTGCACGGTTGGCTTATTTGAGATAGGTACAATTGAGGCTTGCTCATCTGTATCTGAGGTCTGTACAACTTGAAGGAATGGTCTCAACCGTACTTCTGGTGGCCCAAGTTTCCTGTTGTCGTGCCATGCGTGGATTGCCACTGATACCATTTCGGGCGCAGGCAAGGTAATTTTCAAAATTTGTGGCCTGCTACCTTGGTGGTTTGTGGAAGCAATTAAACGGGTGACGTCAAAAGCCACGATATTCTGCATGTTGTAAAGCTCCGCGATGTACCTCCATTCGTCGATGTCGTGCTTCTGTCGTTCACTGCTATCATCATGAACCAGTACCACTTTCTTCACATCTTTTCGATGTGAGGAACCAAGGTTGGTTTTCCGCTTCTGTCTTTCTGCCTATGGCCTGTCAGGAAAAATGTGGGCACTGACAGAAGATTTTACTAGAATGTGGCTTGCTGAGAAGATCTTCCCAGTCGCGCGTGTTGCTAAACGCTACTCGCAGTAAGCGAGGTTCCCCTACGTGTGGAGATGATGGATTTCGGAAAAGGCGTCTAAGACTAATTGGGAGAACTTTCACTCTGATTGCTCAGGTTATTTCAGCCCAGCGGTTTTGCTCCTCGGCTTGTCTGCCTTTTAGCGATTCGGTAGTGGGTTCTGGGACGTTTGAACATATCACTGTCATTGCCATTTGGTTGAGCAGTAATTGTTTGTTCTGCAATTCCTTGTGAGCGTAGATTTGTCGAGTGGGGGTGTCCGGCTTGTGTTCCGTGGACGATAGACCAAGGCTACAGCAAGATTTGTTTACGTGCAACGCCGTTGGTTACACTATCTGTAGGGGTCAAATGTTGTTGCCCAGCTACTGACGGAGATGATTGTGCAATTTTTGCGCAACTATACGCTTTAGCGCATTGCTTGAGACTTGGGAGACCGTTCAACCTGCCTGTTTGCTGTTTTTCACTAACGGTGTTTGCCTTCCGCTAGACGGTAGCATTGTTGCTAGAGAGCTTTTGCCTTTTAACTAGTCGGGGATTTGGGCTACGTAATGCAATAATCTGCAACTCGAGTTCTGAGATTTTCCGTCCCAATAGCGTGATCAGTTCCTATTGGTCTGCCGACGTAACAGCCAACCCTTCACACCTTATCGTAAGCGTGTGGATAATCTTAATTATCGAACTATCTGAACATAAGTCACAGAACCACAACCTATCTGTTGATACGCTGCTAGCTCCGTTAAGTGTAATGTTCACATTTATTGCGTCGTAAGAATTGGCTCGGAACGAGTACTTGATTTTCGAGAGGATCGCAGTTCTCCGCTTGTCTGAGCTACCATTGACCTTGGGCTCGTTGCTCACTGAATTCCAGGTTGACAAACTTCGGTGGCGCATGGATCGATGGTCGGTATGCACTTTTAGGTTGCGTTGATCACGCCGTTTGGGCTGCCTCAGTTGTCTGCTCCGGTCCGCGGGTTTGGTGGTGGTGTGTTACTAGGCGCACGGGTAGCCAAAATCACAGGCGTTGTGTAGTGAAATGCACGTAAAAATATGATGGTAACGTGAGACGACAAAAATGCCTGTACTGTATGGTATACAGTGGTGCACAGTACTGTTATATGTTGTCTGACAGCCTTAAAGAAGCTCTGTCGAATGGTATCCCAAAGATACTGATGAAACTTAAATAAGTACAGTTACTCAACTTGGCCTTAGTGAACAGACTTCCGAAGATTTTGTTTGTACTGTACCAGCGTGTCATTGGACTTACTTTAAAAATATAGACCCCGTTGGATAGAACTCAGTGGTCAGAATCGATTGAGCGTACTTCCGAAGTAGTGGCACAAGAATGTGGGGATAAGTATAATTTAACACAGAGCACAGGATGGCACGATTAGCACCAACCGTGTGAGAAGGTTTCCAGCTGTCACCTTTCTTCTTTAACTTCGCTATTGATGAAGTCATAGAAACAGCGTTCGCTGGACATGACCTAGGTGTGGAGCTACATCCTGGTGAGCGACTTCTTGACTTGGAGTATGTGGACGAGATTGCCCTGGTCTGTGACAGCTTTCAAACATGCCATCCAACATTGGACCGATTAGCATTGGCTGTCAATCGTTTTGGACTGTGCTTTGCTCTATCGAAATGCAAAGTACTTCTCCAGGATTGGCATGGACAAACCCGCACGCCAACACTTTGTGGTGATCAGCTAGAACTCGGTCAGGAATACAAGTACCTGGGCAGCTATATTAACGCCCGTGGGATCGAAGATGAGGTTATGGGCCGTATAGCAAAAGCTCGAGTTGCTTTTGTCACTCTCCGTCACCTGTGGCGCAGACGCGACATCACTCTCGCCCTGAAGGGCAGAATTGATAGCGCAGCCGTCCATTCAGTCCTCCTATATGGTTGCGAAACCTGACCCATCAGGTTGACAGACAAAGAGGCTAGTCACGTTCGATCATCGCTGCCTCCGCAGCTTGACTCATGTCTGGTGGGAGCACTGCGCGAGAAGTGTATGTATTCGGCGTCGCGTATTGGGTGCAGGAAGAACTAGTTAACCGCTCAGCACCATGATATCATGCACCAGGATGCGATGGCTGGGCGACGTGTTGCGCATGCCAGCACACCGACTCCTGCGGCGTGCATTGTTTGCACATTGGGGTGTGGTTGGAAGACGAGGACGGGAGGCCAAGCGGTAACTTTGTCGAGCGAAATGAAAAT